TAACCGCGAGTCTGAATGCAGTCCGGTTGCGAGGAAGCACGTGTTCTGTCGATTCCGCCAGCAGGTTGGCCAGTTCTCGCTCATGGGCATTACGTATTCGGTGGCCAGCGCCATTTTGCCTCGACCATTTTTGCCGATCAAATCTTAATTGTTGGCTGGCGGCTGTCTAAGGAGGCGTGGCCACTGGTTGGCTCAGTTTCTGCCACGCGATGCACGAACGCATTGGTTTTCTTCTTCTTCTTCTTCTTCTTCTTCTTCTTCTTCTTCTTCTTCTTCTTCTACTACTACTTCCCCCTTTTCGTCTTCTTTTTACGGCTCAGCAAGGAGCACGATACGCGACTTTCGAGTCGTTTTTCATCAGCTGCCGTTCCCTGGTTAAGCTATGCAACGTATACTCCAATCACGACGAACCATCCGAGTCAAAGCTCGCCGCTCCATCTTCTGTCTCGTTGCACACTCTGCAAAAAGCATGATTGAGTACAAGAATTCGTAAGATAGCACACCGGCAGGATTCTTGCGCGACGTTGGCGGCAGTGGTGCATTATTCGCAGACTCGAGAAAAAGGGGAGTTTGAGTCGATTCTACGGAATAAAATGAGATATTTGCAGTTAACTTCGTCTTATGTCAGCTGTCATACTGGTGTGCGTGCTACAACTAAGGGTTAACGTAAGAGTCATCTTTCCTCTAATTTTTAAAAGCTTATCATCTTCTACGTCCATTCGAAATTGATAAATTCAGAAATTCCCAATCGTTCGTTACTATTCGATACATGACACGAAAGAGCAATTCGACATCTACAAAATGGCACACTTAACATAAAACTTAAATATTTTGTTTACATTGAATTAATATTCATTTAAGAAAAACATAAAATTAGGGAAGTATAATAGGAAAAGTGTTTGGTTCGCTCTAATAGCTTCGGTACAGTAGCCAAAGGATAAGATTTACACCTGTGAGTCTCTGGTAACATCAACTGTGAAGAACCGGGCCGTGAAATCCTCAAATATCATCGAGTGGAGAATGTTCCAACGAGGATGTTAACGTAACAGCCATTGTTCCTGTAATCTTCGGAAGCTTACAATTATCTGCGTCCAGGATGAGCTAGATTTTAACACCGTGGCGAGATAGACCGTAGGTACGTCTCTAATAACTAATTGCGTATGGACGTAAAGAAGCCTTGATAATTCCTCGAGCATGTAGCCACGCAATTAAGGTGTAACGTTTCAAAGTTCTGGTCGTAAACAACGCGGGCAAAGTAGCGGAACCTCCGAGGCTCGGTTCCGCCCGTCAATTGTTACCAATTGTTGCCAATCAGAGTAATACGTGTCATTATGGCGAGAAGGTTAGCAGCAATGCGCACCACTCCGGCGTATACCGATCTGATTACACCTGCGCGCAATATTAATTTGACGATTATTAAGGCGGCATCCGTCGAACGCGCGTGCAAGTCGAAGGAAATACGGTGTACAAATTAATCGGCTGTTTTTTTATTAACAGTTCGTTGACTAGACGCAACATTGTGTTTACCGTGGTTACTTTGTTTTAAGTCCGAGTAACAATGCGAAACGCTAAGTATAAACCACTAATTACACCTCACACTATCACGATCAATCGTTAGGTGGCTTCTGGCAATTAAAACACGCCATAAATAGCTCACTGTCATCGTGAGCCAGTGCTTCTCAAACATCATCATCGAGTCGGTCCTCGGATAAGGAATAATTTCGATGGACCCTGCGCAATTGCGTTAATAGAATTTTTAATTGTTTCCTGGAATACTGTGCTTACGTATCAAACACTGGTTTGTATTTCTCTTTTCGTTTACTTTCTAAGAATCTTTTAATTCCGTTGTGTTTATCCACATTCATATATAATACATTATACATGTTATATGTCTATACTATTTTATAGCTCTTTCATATCGGATATTAAATAATTTTGAACGATCGTGTAACGTTCTTGTAGAAGTTAAATAATTCTTTCAGTACTTTTCAAGACTTTTCCTTAGAATCCCGCGGCGAGCTGGACATTGCACCGCTTGAGAATATGCAAAGGACGAAAGGAAGTCTCGTGAGTTACAACGTTTCTAAACGGTGCACCGAACAACTGAGGAAAGAGAGAACGACCATCCTATAATACTTCATTTGCCTCGTAAAAGCATAAAACGGCGGATACGACGTTGAACCAGCATCCCTTTCTACAAGCACGTAACGCAGTCGATGGACCATTACATCCGACTTGTCTGGAAATTATTGTTAGGTTGGCGCAAAAATAACTTCACTTTTTACCTGTTAACTTTAACATTACATTAACGGAAAACACACGATATATGACCCGTTCGCTTTACGTATTCGGTGGTAGTTAAAAAATAATCGTCAGTAATGTTACTTTTTTACGCGACTAGTGGAGTTGATCGATTTGTACAATGAACGGCTCATATGTAGAACACCTTTACACAGAAACACCAATATAATAAAACACCGTCGTGTCCAGCGATTCCCTTGTTTTCTTCGATTCCGTAGATCACGTCGGCTCGTAACCGGATGTCAACTTGATAATGAAGTAAGTATCCGTCATAAAACTTTTAATTCGACGAGGTAAACAACATTAAAATCCAGCGATCAATGCCACTGTTAATTGCATGCCCTGGGCGTTACATTTTTTTCTTTGAAAACGAGATGCAAGTAAATGACATCGATTTGCGCCAATATTGATTACGTTGACTTTAACGGTGATTACCGTGCGCATATCGCGCGGCACGATAGAAGTAAAGTTTTTATGCTGCATCTAATTGGACCACACTCGATTGCTTCGGCGTTATTTCCTCGTAAAGTCCCCGATTTTCTCATTAAATAATCGTTTCTACATTTATTATCCTCCAATGCAAACTTCGTTCTTGCTCCTTACCTACCCTGTTATTCAGTGCTCCATTTACGATCCGCGTTGTCTTCTATTTTTTCCACCAATAAAACCGAGCCGTGGCACATTCGAAAACATCCGCGCCAAACGACTCGGAGAAACGTAACCGCGTACGATCGCCTCTAAGCGAACGAGACGCCCGGGAGGTGTGTAATATTTGAACAAAGATTTAATGCGCTTTCTTTGTTCGCTCCGCTTTCTTCCCGAAATTCTGTCTCGGTCGTTACGAGGAATGAATGGTTACTTTTTGTTTAGCGCGAACACGCGAGGGCATTAACTTCCTCTATGTTTGCGTTCTTTAACATTTAAATATAAATTTGATTGCGCAACGGTTTTCAAATCGACGCGAACTCGTTGCTTCGATGGAATTAAAAATTCCTACAATGTAATGAAATAAGGATTTGTTGATACTACGGAACAGCATTGTTCCACTTTTACTGGTTCCACTGTACTACATTCTTTTTAAGTGGATATTTTTTATTTCCTCTCTAGCTGATTTTTGGCGAATCGGCCACTGTGCATCGATGCGTGCCCGTTCACAAATAAATCCCATGCAAACGAGCGGCTCGTCGGTGTTTCGCTTGAAATTAGTAACGCAATCCTTCAATTCAACGCGCATCTAATCTGCCGAGATTCCTATAATTCGGCGCGGTTTAATATGCATTTCATCGAAATTGTCGGGCAACAAGAGCACCAAGGGAGCAGAAATCGAGCGATGCGATGCGCTGGCAAGATGCTCCAGTGCACCAGTGACGCCAACGCATTTGCGGTCTCCAAATTACAATGAAAACGAGCGAGTTGAGATGGTACGGGCCATGGACCAGAGTAGAGAGGCAGAGGAAAGGTCCTTTCCGCCGGCCGTGCGCTTGTGGAATAATAGCCTGTTGATTATATGCATTATATGGACCGGAATTGATACGGTTCGTAATAAAATAATTGAAATAATCATATGCCACGAGGACGACTCCACGTTAGAAATCCATTGGCCAAACGGAACCCCGGTTGACGCGATGTATCGTGTTAGCAGCCATCCAAGAATGGATCGATAGGAAATTACGTCGCATCAAGAAATCAACCAATGATTCCAGTTCAAACAACTAGAAATCTACGACGCTAACAAGATTTAGAACGATGCTGTAGTCCTCAAGTTTTATTCAGTTTTGCTCAGTTTTATTAGATTTTATTTAGTTTTCTTCTATTTTTTTTCGTTTATGTCCAGATTCCTTTAACTTTCTTCAAATTAGAAGAAAATTAAAACTCTCAAATAATATATAGGTTATTTTATTCTATCTTCTGAGAAAGCAGTATCTACTTCTTGGTTATTTACATATATTTATGAATTAACCGAGGTTCTATTTAAACAATAAGTCGCTCAACCGACAGGATTCAATCAAAAGGACGTTTTTTCTCTTCCGAAAGGGTTTTAAATTTGTTTGAAAGCAATGTGCGTGTTTATGGTTTCCACGAAAACGTCGCAATCAGCCCTGTCTGATGATCCCTTTCTCTACATGATTAAAGGTAGCGTTTCATTTTGTAAAACTATTCCTAGAATCAAGATGAACTTGTCTGCGACCGAACGACTTCGTGGAGATGCAATCATCATTGGAATCAACTGGAGGCTCGTTTTACGGAGATTATAGAGAGACGAGCACCAAACAACCGTTGGAAATAATCGAAACGAGCATTGATCTTAAGAGGTCCAAACAGTTATCGATTTCATGCATCGTTTAACACTTTCATTGCCAATCGTGCGATACAAAAATACTGAGAAATAAATAGGTATACTAAATAATAATAAATATAATAAATAAGTATAAGTATAATATACATATTATACCGTTTAAAATTTGCAACAACTTTTAATTCGTTATTCGTCGAATAAAAATTACAATCCGAATTATTCGGTACAATCTAATATTCCACAACGAACAAAGATTTAATCATGCAATAAATAATGCGAACAAAAATTCTATCGTCTCATTCGTTGTTTGTAAATCGAATAAAGTGACATCCACTCCAGAAATTCTGTTCAGGTTCATCGCGGGATAAGTTCTCCGTCGGTAACCTAGCTTCCTGTTTCCAAGCCAGAGGCCGGTCGAACGCGTGACGTCACTGTGGTGCTGTGTGTTCCTTTCCGTGCCACGCGTTGTGCAGCGATATTTACTTGGTGAAAGTATCAGCGATACCTAAGGTATTTAAACAGAATTGCGTCGTCGAAACGTTCGTTCATTGCGTGAATACGATCTCAATCTCATAGATGTTAGAGTGATTTTCACAGAAGCCACGTAACGTAGGCGCATGCGACCATCACGCTCCTAGTCACGCTTTTAGAGAAGCATAGGCGAAGGTTAGGTAGAAACGAGCAACTTCCGTGCGTTGCAACAACGTCGACAAATATAAGATTTGTAATTGTTAAAGTTAGCTACGTAAGAACAGCTTTGTTCCTTCGAGAAAGTAAGGTTAAGTTCCAGTGTGCAGTTTGCGCGTGGTTCGAGAACCGTGTGGTACGAGGCAGCACTGTGCAACACAGTCGAAACTCGATACCTCGATTATACGTATATCGATGCGAACGATGCGCGGGCTGTTCAAACCGTGCAAACTTCTACCCGATACGAGAGTCATTCGGAAAGTTTTATATTTAAGTTCGGTCAGCGTACAAAATGGATATGTTTACACTGTACCAAAGTATCGCTCATTTAAAATTGCTATATAATATGAGAATATGGTACTGTAGCATAACGGAGTATAACACAACATAAAATTGCATATCACAGCACAGCGTAATACTGCAAAATACAGTATGATACACGATATTCCAGAATAGTACAGCATATTGCAGAATATTCTAACATAACGCAGCTTAATACAGAATATTTCAACATAATACATCATAACGCAGCATTCACGTGAACAAATTTACCCAACGTGCTACCTTTTGGTCGCGAAGTGTACCACGAACGAAAACTGTACATAATTGGCAAAACGTGGCAACAGTCTGCACCGAACACCTCGAAAGGCTCCAGGTTCCTCACCCCTGATCCAAGTCGATGCCATCGATTCACGATGCTCCGAGATACCGATCCCCCTTTGTCCGGATCGAACGCTCGTGCAAAAATGAACCGCGGCATGAATGGGTGGAAGGGGGGTGGGGGGGAGGGGGAGGAGGAGGAGGATATCAGTTTGCATGGATAGAAATGAAAATGACCCAAGATGGATCGACCACGCCCTAGTTCCACCAACCCCTCGGAATGTTTAAGAGTCCAGCATGGTTGGCGTGTACGTGTAATGCCCCCGGCCACGTGATGGTTGAAACAGAACCAAGCCGATGTCGGGATGCTCCTCGAGAGCATCGGGTCGCTTTCGAGCGCTCGGGGTGACTAATTATATTAATGCGGACGGCACATCAAGCGATTGCTGTATTTACCGCGAGATTGCCCCCCTTCTTTCTTCTCGTCCTCCAATGTACAACGGCCCGCGCCGTATCAAAGGACGAGGCCAGGTACAAGACGCCCGCGGGTGGCGCAGAGGGGGGCAAGAGGGGGGCTTTGGACGAAGTAAAACGCGCGGAGGAGCGAATTCGAGGTAGACGGAGAGGAAAGGACGAGGTGGATTCACCGAGCAAAGATGCGAGGGAGGAGGAATACGCCAGGAATACGACGGGTCCGACGATTACTGGGCACCAAAGCCGCGAATCACCGGCATCACGCCGGGAATCTGCAACCGCGCCTCAGGCCGCCAATCCGCCACCGACTTGGCGTTTCTTCTTCGTCCCCTTTCTTCCCGTTCAGCTCCTTCAACGGTTCTCCTCCCTTCCCTGGTCCTTTTTCTTAACCATCGCCGGGCCTTCCTCTCTTTCCCTTTCTCTGTCCATCCCCGAACTATCGGGTCCTCGGAACGGTTTAACGCGAAACCGCGGCACCTCTCGCCATTCTTCGCCGCGGTCCGCAGAAAATTTGCACATTACGATAATGGAGGAGAAGAGAAGAGAGAAACCCCTCCGCGGTGCTACTCGAGAGGCGCTTTGGCGCCGCGGCGCGGCCAACGTCTCGTGCCCCCTTTTCTGAATCCTGACTCGCTAGATCGTAGGAGTTCCGTGGTACAGGGACTATAAGAATGTTTATTGTTTGGTATTATCACGCCAA